GCCACATCAGGTCTTGAGGATACTGTTGCAGCTGTTGTTTGATCAGGTCATTTTGAGCATTTGTTAAACATGGGATAACTCTGACAGCAAAACACCTGCATAAGGAACTGGGCCATCCCACCCCAAACTGGCTATTTGGGTAGGACACTAGGTCAAGCCCCGGCGCTGCCCTGCAGGGCCGGTCTTGAAAAGTGTCAGCTTTTGAGCAAACAGATCCCTTTCCCTGGCTCAGAAGTGGCCTGCGGAGGGGACACAGTTCACCCGAGTCTGTTTTTATTCCTTGGGTAGGGCCAGAGGAACGTTTGTCAGGCACCTGACCCTTGTGCGGGACACTGGTGAAAGGTGGTGTCCAAGCAGCCGTGGCAGGAGTCGGGCCCCTGTTGTCAGCCCGGGGCTGACTTGCCGAGGTGGCAAATACACTAGTAAGTAAGTAAGAGCAGAAGCAGCTCTAATTGCCTGGTTGGCTATTAATATGTTGTGGGATAGTCTGTGAGTCATTTCCTTGCTGAACCAATTTTTTTACTCATCAAATTTGCTCACAAAGTAATTATCTTGAAGCAATGAGTAGACAGGGATTTTTTTTTTTTCTTTCCAGAATAAATTTAAAGAGATATTAACATCTTGTAAGACTACGTCCAGAGGATTCAGTGATAACCTGTTACAGAACTGAGGTTATGCACCAACATCATAGCTAATAAACTACATCACGATAGAGGAAAACACTAGAAAAAAAAAGACAACCTTTATTGACACAGTATGTGCATTGTATAATATCTTAACAGAGAAAGGTTTGCATTTATCTTCTCAAATCAGCTGTCATTTTGTGTAGTTAAAAATATTATGAACGCCCCCCCCCCTTTTTTTAATGCTCTTAAAAAACACCTAAGAACACAAAAAGTCATAAAAACAACCTCTCGAGGCTGGTGAGCTGTTTTCAGCCTAAATGCTCTCTTATTGGGAGCAAATGGCTGGTAGAGATTAAAAACTATGGGGCTCATATACTTCCAAATCATTAGGGATTGCCCTGCAATTTTAGGCTTTCAATTTAACAGTATTTTTTTCATTCATTATTTAATCCAGGAATGTGTAGGTCAAAGTATTTACGATATTCCAAGTTTTAAAATTAGAAGTGGTTGACTAAATTTCTACAAATGCACCAAGCAAAAATCAAAAGTATTCGGAAAAGTTTATTGGCTAGGATTTGTAGGTACATTCAAAAAATGGAACCAACATTTAAAAACTTCAAGTTTGGGGTTGCTTGTTTTTGTTTTTTCCAATAGGGAACAGCCCTCACAGGAATCCCAACAAAATATCAAGTTTTCAAAACTTTCAGACGAGACCTTCCCTTCGCTTAGGAGGCTCTTGATGGCCGGGGTGCCAGGAAGTTCGTGTTTCCAAGCGTTTTGGCGTGCGGGCCGGCACTGGGCGTCAGCGAGCACCGGGAGCAGGGCCGGGCGACGGGGCCGGGCAAGCCACCTGCTTGGGGCCCTGCTGCCGGCCAGCACTTCCTTGCTGGGAAGCCTCCTGTTTAACAGCAAAAGCGGGATTGTGCATCTAACTTACGATTTTTACATTTTAATTTACGTTCTTTTGCTTTTGCCAGCTTCCTACTCTCTCTTTCAGTAGGACCCTCTGCTACCTCACAGCTATTTCATGTTACCTTTTCACACTTTCTTTCTTCCTTGTGTACTATCTCCTTCTTCCTGTTCTTTCATAAGGACTTATTTTGCTCTCTCTTTCTGGAGTAACTGCTGTTTGCTGCAAGTTGATCCCTTAGCAGCAGAACAGGAGGAACTCCCCCACTGCTTAGCTCCGCTACATGTAGAGGAATGATTTTATCACTTAAGACCATAGTCTGTGCTGATTTATACTTCATACAGACTCATAAATCAGTGCAATATTTGGATAGTAAGTTATAAACTCAGGTCAAGGAGTTTCTTCAAGCACTTTTTAAAGCCTCAGGTACTCTATACCTCACAAGGCAGAAGTAATTTTTGGTGTCTAACATTGCTTTTCCTTTATGAAGATAATACAGTCTTGGACTTACTTTTTCACATCACAGAAAATCCCCTTGACTTCCACTATGCTTCTCAGAGCCCCAGATTAAACACACGCACAGTTTTTTTGCAGAAGCTGGCCCGGGATGGGTGGTTTTTTGGTTTTTTTTTAACTCTACAAATTGTCAATAGCCCCTTAGCAGAGAAAGGATTTCACTGAATTTGTTTTTAGCTAATGCCAGGAATATAGTTTAAGAACCAGCTCTACTGTGGCAACTCTTACAGAAAAGTGTTAGTATGAAAACAAATGATGCATATTCCAATACTTGAAAGAGGGGGAAAAAAATCCTTTTTGGAAGCATTGCAAGGGCTCTGTCCCTGCCCATGCTGGGAACCGAGCCTTGAGGCCGGTGTATTATTCAACAGTTGTGGACCTGATCCACTTCCAAAGGAGACCTCTCCCCCTGTTTTTGTATAGATCACTAGATACCAGCTGCAGTTATTTTAAGGAAATCTGAGATTATCACAGCTCAGAAATTCTTGTCTCACTTGCTGGGGCCCAAAGCTTTGTGCAGTACATTAACCCTTTGGGGCTGTGCATGCTCGTGTGAAAACAGTTGATTTATGACTTATTTAGGAAGTGCTTCAAGTAAGCAGTAGCAATGCCTACATAAAGCATTTCCTTCTTTATTATGCTAAGTGGCAGATTTAAATGGTGCATGGCATCGGGGTACCACAGGAAGCCACGTTTTGTCCATTCATGTCTTCTGTCTGCCTTTCCTTCCCTTTAGTCGCTGACTCACTCGGAACGGTGTCTGCTTAGCAAGCCTATGCATTCGCATGTGCTTGTGCCTAAGCACTCAGACATGCATGCTTGAATATGTATAGTTAAATTAACTTTTCTGCTGCTCTGGCCATCATCTTTAGTCTCTAGGGGTATTTATAGCAAATTATTGTTATAAAAAGAGACCTGATAGGCCCTATCAACGTTTTTCATTCTTACCTTGTCCTCAGTTTCCAGATTAATGAAGAAATATAATCTATTTCTTCTCCCAAATGAGACTCACCAGAACAAGGCTTTTACTAAGTGACCTTATCTGGATCAGTTTTGGACCCAGCCCAGCCACGAGAGTAACTGCATGAAAAATCCACAGACCTAAGCTGACCTATACGGATTAAGAATGTGGTACCTTATTTGTTAAAGTAAGTACGGAAAAAGGCACTTAAGAAAAATATCACAGAGCATGCTAAAGAATATTGTAGGCCTATTGCATAGAGCAAGAGTATTACATACTCGACTGAGGTGATGTAAAATTGTCAGTGAAGTCATATGTCTTAACAGAATGTTAACAACAAAAAAATTAATTAACCTTGAAATCTATTTTAGACATTAATATCTAAACTTTAAAAATTACGGTTAGTTTTCTGCAAACAATTACACAAGTAAAAACTACAAGCCTGAAAATGCTGAAGTTAAAATAATTTTTTTTTTCTTTTAAAGTGAGAACTCTTCCAATTAGTGAACTACTACAAGAGTTATAGTATGGAAACACGTCTTAAATTTTTATGCTTTGGCAATACAATGACAAAAAAGTCACCTGCACATTAAAAGAGCCAGGTTTTATACCTTAAATCAGCTACAGAATAATTGGTTATTAAAAATGACCAAATCATCAAAATATATTACAAGCATATTTCAAAGATACCAACAAACCAATAATATTTTAAAATATGTTATATTTTTTCTTCTGCACATGAAGAAAATGGATTTCAATCAGTATAAACTTATGATCAAAAAATTAAATATTGGAATGGTGAATAACCTTAACAGTAATGAAACCCAATGCATACGATCTGAAATACACAGTATCATTTTATGTTATTAGATTAACATAGCACCGTAACAGTCTTGTGTGCTTCAAAATCTTGATATAAAATACAAGATATAAAAACTTGTGTAGCAATCAAGAACAAACAATTTAAAAAAGCTGATGCATGTATAAAAACGTGTAAAAGTCAAGCTCACTTTCTTTCCAATAAGCGTAGTTCAGCAGAAGTACCGAACCAAGTTATTTGTATCTACTGCTCCTACTTAACAAGATAGGTTATAATTTACAGGATAGTAGTCTACCATTCAGAAGGTGGTATAATATAATTTAGTTGGGAGAATTTTTTAGTTTATCCCTGCAACTCCTGTTGGTGGAGTCTGATACGATTAAAAGTACCCTCTTTGTTAAACTGTATACAGATAACCCAAAATATTGCTTTCTAACTCTCAGTCTAATAGACAGATAGTCTCTATCTGAGAAGCTGAATTCTTATAAAAAGTACTTATAAAAACCTGCAAAAATGGTTAGCACCCAAAAATCTAGCATCTGTGGCTTTGATGTGAAGCTCAAAATGATTGTCAAATGGCCACTTCAAAAGTCAGTGACTTTACCCAATAGTAAAGTTAAACGTTTGACTAGAAACTAAACCTACAGATCTCCAAATATTAATTAGGAAGCAAATGCATATGTTTAACATTCCCAAGATTTTTGTAGCTTCTCAAACAAGATTTAAAGGCATTAGATTGTATTCTGATGTTTCTCCTTCTTCCAAACATGGAAGCTTGTATGTTCATTAACACGCCTCTTCACCATTTTGGTGAGCAATGAAGTAAAGTTTGTTTTCTATGTCTAGTTGTCAGCTACAGAAATTTGGGATTTTCATGGAGGCGTTCCCACAGCAATGAGATGAGGAAGCCTTCCAAAGTAACAAGCGTGAACTAGATTGCTGTATCTCAACATGGAGACGTGGTCTTTAGCGAATGCCAACGTAATTTGTTGGCATTTGTTGCTCTAATCCAGTTCTCTGGATCATTCTGCACATACAGTGAAGTGATGTATGCACAGCTTGCATATGAAGAATTGGAACAGACCCCTGAGAAAAATCAAATCCACTGGAAAAATGTGTTGCTTAATAATTGTTTAATAATATCAGTTTGAGAAGTTTCAATTCTTCCGTTGGAAAAAAATGATGGGGTAGTCATCTTTTTCTAATGTGAATTATTACAATTTATCACATCGGTGAACATAAATACAGTTTGGGATTTTAAGTGCATATCTAGGGTTGATTAGAATTAAAAATAATTCGTTTGAAAATTCTACCCATCCCCCAAAGATTCAACATTACTCAAGTCATCAAAATACTACTTGCGGGCTTTGAGTTCAAAAATAGCCTGACATGCAATGATGTTCTCTCAATAACTGCTGCAGCACATTTTCACTCTATCATAATATGGGCACTCAGGGAGTTCGCTTCAGCTCTCTTCAGCCTTGTGTGCAATTCTCATCGTTCCCATGTACCCAGAAGCAAATCTGAGCATATTTGAGAGGAGTAATTCTTACTGCTACATTATAATCCTGCTGTTCACCATTGACATCCACCCACTGATGGCCTGAATAAACAGCAATGATCTTGCGTTTCCACTTCTTTTTGTTTGGCTCCTTAAGACGGAGGTAGACTCCAGATCCAGTGGAGCCAGGCTCAGCATCACAATACTGATAAAAGAGATCATTGGACTCATCAGAAATGCTACAAAACCGATAGACCAGCTGCCCAGAGCGATCATTGTCAAAACCTGAGAAGTGGATCATGCTCCCAGGCATCATTTTGATTGTTGGGCTGATTCCCAGCTCCATGTATTTCCTTTTGTGGGGACGCTTCAGCTCAAGAACAGCATAATCATAATCCAGGGCAATATCCCCAGAGACACCCTTAAACCAGCCTCTTGGGATGTGGGTACTCTTCACCCTGGTCCACTGGAAGGCGGGCACTCCATCTGAGGTACCCTGCTTCCTCCCCAATCTCCTCTGCTTTCTCCCACCACCTCTGGAGCGCCGCCTCAGTTCTGTGGCAACTTCAGGATCATCTAGGGTCTCAGAAGCTTCTCTCCTACTTCTTTTAGCACTTTTGCGTTTCCTGCCATTACCTTTGGATTTTGTAT